ATATTGGTGGATAATACGTTGATATTTATTTGAATTTGTGGCCCCAAAGACCTTTAAACTGCCCACTAGCCATCATCTCTTTCGCCCACCCGAAAAAAAATTTGTCCACAAGCTGAAAATAATACGTAGCGAATGAGTTAAATTTCCATTGTCTCAATATATCCCCCTTAGTGAAAAAATCCCAAGGAAATGTCTTCAGTGACAGCGATGGGGATTTGTTGGATGGAATGGGCTTGGATGAAGAAAAACCAGCCGGGAACAACAGAAGAGCTGAAGTTACTTACAAGGCAAAGCCTGGAGGTAAATATCACCTCTGGTAACTTTAAGCAATGCTTGATGAGTGAAGTTGTACTGGATCTGTGGTTGTGATGTATCATTGTTTTGTTTTTGTCTTGTTCCTTTCACTTTGTGCACATTACTTATTGCAGTGGTCAGAGCAGGCTGTACTCTCTCTTACTTATTTTCCTGAAATTCTGATCGAATATATGGGTGATTGGTGGGTGCTCTTGTATGGTTTCCTCCTTTTTTTCTACCAAACAATCTTTTTTCCTTATCTTTCCTTCTTCTTTTCTTTGAATATTAGTCTCTTTATTTTACAAATGAGTGTTTTATATGATGTGATGTGGGCCAATGGCCTTAAACACTGAATAAACTTACTTACATATTCTAGATATACCTTTTTCTTTGGCGCTTAAAGGACCTGTTGGTTTTGCAAGTGCCATAATACTCTTTCCATTACTCACAAAGCATGTCTGTGTGTCTTTCATAAAAAGATTATTTGCCACAAGGAACACACTAAAGGTTTTTAACTTTCATAGCTAATTCTGTCTCTGCTACAACTTTTTAGGAGACAGTGAAGATCTGCGGCCGGCAAGATCCGTTTTTGACAGCCTGCTGGGGAAAGGAACCGGCTCAGCCGCCCAACTGCTGGAACCAAAAGAGAAAAAGCAGTTTGTGCTGGACACCAAGTACACCAGCTCTAACGCAGGTTTGTTTTATGTTACAGGGAAACCAGTTGGGATTTCATTATAAATTGAATGCATTGGGGTTTTTTTGCTTTTTTAATCTGCTTTTTTTTTCTTTGTCTTGAGTTTTTAGTTTTAGAAAGTAAAATGTGGGTTGTTGTCAGCTTTTAAAAGCCTAAGCAGTGACTTTTGTAAAGCGTCACTTTACAATATATAATATATGTTATGGTTTTTCTGTAATGGCAGCAATTTTCAAGGTGTTTTTTTTTTAAGATGAAAATTTGTTTGTTTTTTCTAGGTCATATCTGCAGAGCTTATTTCAAGAAAAGATTTTGCAATACTTATTTATATCTTCTTTAACCTTCTTGTATAGCAGTCGATGCAATAACACTCTGTTGTGCCACATATTCTCACCAGGCAGTGGAGACATCAAAGGCACTGACGAGGATGATTTTCACTTTGGAAGTTACCAGCCGTCAGCTGCTACTGGCTCCCGACCAAGTTCTCGTAGATCTGTCAGGTACAATCTTCAGGACTTAAAAGAGACAAAAACACCAGTCAGACTACGCTAGAAATTTGAAATTTATTTGTGCAGTTGGATTGTTTTTGTGTTGCAAAGTAGCCTTAGATTCACTTTGAAGTTATTTTTAAACCATTTCCTGTAATTGTCTTGTGCTGCTGTTCTGAAAACCATGTAAGCCACTGTTGTAGTTGTTTGTTTTTTTGTAACAAGGCCACAAGTTAATTAGCATGGTTTTTAATTTGTTAACACTTTGCCGCCACATCTTGCCGATTGGCGATGTTTACCACCCAGTTTCTTTGGATTTTCCCCAAAATGCCTTTGCCTTTGATGGCAAGGGTTTTACTAAATGAGACTTGTGATGGAAAGTGTTAAAGAAGCTGCTGATATAGACCGTTTAACAGGGATTTTTAAAACATGAACAGAAGTAAGGCATACTCCCTTCTTGTAAGAGAAAATGCACAATAATGAATGATTATAGGGAAGCACGGCTGTTCAGTTCTACTATCCTTGCGGAGCACTTAGTTTCACTCGTCCGCTGACCTCCCGGGGTCATAAATCCCACCTGACAGTCGGGCCACGCATCGCTTCCTGGGTGATAGCGCTGTTAACCGATTTCGGTTGGAAAGTCTGTAATTTTCACTTGATTTAGACACCTGTAAATGTCCCTTTTATCTATCACTATAGGTGTGTGAGGTATCAAATGAAAGCTCAGGTTCTCCCCAATAACACGCACCATTTAGTTTCGTTCTAGTTCTAATCGTGTTCACACACTGCCTCTGGACTTAACCCTACCTTGTGGTGCACGTATTTTTCGGGTTCCTCCAAAATCAGGATATTTTTTCCATTCGTGAACCTCAGATTGTAACCAGTTTTTTATCGGCTGTATTAAGAGTCAGTAAGGGGGTTATTTGTGAAAAAATTGTTTTGATTGGATTGAAAAACTTTAGCAGGACGGCGAGTTTTGTTACTTCACCCCGTAATATTTTCCCGGCCGCCGCGCTGCTCGTACGGTATTCACCCGAGGTCTCGCTTTCACTTTCGCCGTTTCTGTGTCGACACGTGTTACGAAAGTTTGCTACCAGAGTGAAAATGGAACGCCCACAGAAACTATACCTTGAGTGTTTTAAAGATTGTGTAGAACGTGCAAGGACAAAAGTCAAAAGGTTAAGAAGGCAAACTAGAGCAAATATTTTTGTATAAATTTTAAGAATGACGTACTCAATTCTCATTCTCTATCATGTGAACATGGACTGGGATAGTGCAGACACACATCCTGTACACTGTGCAACAAATGTGTAGATCTACAGCGCATTTAAACCTTAACGATTTGAGAAGCAACCCTAGCTGCTGCACAAAAAAGTATTGAAGAAAGTTCACACATCTGGACACCTTTCGATCAAAATAAAACAGTAGATGCTTGCCCTGTGTGTTCCCTTTGCACACTTCAAAATAAAGGTTGTATTAGAAAAGTACATCAGACACCGTCTTGCTCAAAAGACCCACCAGAGCCTCCATCTGTTGAAACACCGACCCATGTAATTGCAGCAGACAAACAATGACATGAAAGTACTCAACAGACATCCATAGTAGGTCAATCATCACTAGAAATATCACCAGTGAATTCCCCAAACAGAGATCTAACCCTTGAGACCCCAGCCGTGACTTCAACATTCAAACGTACACAGAAAGAGTTCAAAGACAGTGCAACATCTCCTTGCGCGCAGTTTAAAGACACATCACTAGAGCATGCACTTCAGAGACTTATTACACAACCATTGTCTCATTTAGAAGAAACACTCGCTACACAAATGACACGCAGAAAACGTTACTCCTCGGCAGAGAAAAGGAAGGTACAGTTGATATGGATTTGGCCTAGATCTAGGTTTAAAGAGCGAGGAGGGTGGCGAACTTGTTCACTTCAGCATCGCAAAACTGGAGAAGAGGACAGTGGGAATTAAGGGAAAAGTGAAGCAGTTGAAAACTCGTACTGAAGGGGGAACGAAGAGGAAGACAACTAGCCTTTGAACTCGAAGACACTTTTGCATTTATTGTTATGAGTATTCATATTTGTGTTCGTGAAAGCGAAAGCAGCTCTAGCTGTGAGAAGACAATGAGGAAATAACTCCTGTTTCATGAATTGGATTGCAGTGAAACTTCTACAAAGTTAACTATTTCTGCTTGAACTGTGAGGAGATAACGAAAAATCTCTCGTTTCATGAGCTGGACAGTGGTAAATCTTCTACAATTTCCACGTTTGTGAACCAATCGAACCAAAAGTAAGTGTTTCTGAAAGCTAATCATGTCACTTTTGTGTACTACTGATTGTTTTATAGATATGAGGTTCACATTTTAAAATATCGTAATTTTAAAAAGTAGACCCTTGTAAAAATTTCCCTGAAAGTTGCCCTCAATTGCGCAATGTTTTAAAGGGTGCCCAGCTATGAATATCAATAAAAAATTATTTGCTGTAAAGCTCAAGAATGCCTCTATCTGTTGATAGTATTTTGACTTTGATTTATCTGTGGGCAAAGCCACAATGACGATATCAAACTGTATAAAAATTGTTAAGTCACAACAGTTCACTCGTAGAGCAAAGGTCAAAGTGACCTCCCTGACCACCCGGGCGCGGCATGGCTGACCGGGTCAATTCCTCAAGTAACTAAGTGCTCTGCTCGGGAACAGCCGTGGAAGAGGAAAGTGGCTTCATAGGCTGATTTTTCCTTTAAGATTTTATGGCGAATATTTATTTCTAAGTTTTGGAAAACAAAGTGGAAATATTACGATTTTATGGAAAAAAATAATGCAAACAGTAGCGTAGCTGAAATTTTATTTTGCTCCTGGTGAGGAAATGATATAAACGGTGTAAATATTGTGGTAATTATTAGATACAACTCGTGGATTGATTTAGACACTTTTCCTCTGTTCTAGATTCCAGGATGATGACGATATATTTGGTTTGGATACTCGGCCATCTCCAAGAGCCAAGTCCCCGGGGTCCAGGCCTAAACCTCCACCTGACATGGACTGGTTGGAGACAGAAGCAAGCAAGCCCCCAGCCCAGACCTCTGCTGCTTCTCCAGTAAAACCTAGTGGACAGGCTTCATCAGTGGCATCCAAACCTCCAACTCCGAACAAAGCAGACTCAGCTAGCAAACCACCCGAGAGTCCTAGGAAGACTGCCAATAAAGACAGTCTTGCACCTTCTACCCCAGTGTCAAACACAGCACCCAGCCCAAGAGCATGGCTTGGCTTAGAAGATTCAGACTCTGACGGGGAGGAGATGTTTAAGCCCAAGCGTTCTGCGGCAAGGGTTGCCACTTTACCTCAGAGTCCAGTGGTGTCTGCTTCTCCATCCCCAAGAATTCCTCCCAAGAAGCTTGGAAAAAAAGAACCGGCCTCTCCCAAAGTCTCCACCCCCACTGGGAATAATAACAATGATGACGATGACGACTGGCTAGCTCGTGCAAGAAGCAGAAGACAGCAGATGTTGTCTAAGGATGAAAACAAAGACAAGAGTTCAAAGAGTGCGTCTGGTGGGGAGGGGGGTGAGGACCTAACGGGCAGAGAACCAGATCTACAAGGACAGAGCATGAGAATGGACCTATCGTCTCTCATGTGAGTAGTGTCATTTGTTGTTCTTCAATATAGCAGAAATAAAAAGTGGAAGTGAAGATGAGTTTTAACACCTGGGTTCACATAAAACTGGGGGGGGGGGGGGATGAGAACGAAGTAAACAGTTATATAACGATCAAACAAGTAACATGATAGTGCAATAAATGGAATAAACCATAGAATAGAAAATCAGTTTTGTAGAAAACTGTTAAATAATGAAAAAAAGATCTAGTCAGATTCTGGGATTCATATGATGTGACCTTTAAAGATAAAAAGACCACATGATAGAAATAATTATGGTTTAAATTACTTAAGTTTGCAGTGGACTGTTAATTATACGAACATAAATTTGATTAGGGAACATAAACACTTTCTGGAATCTTTCTTTTTATGAACTTGTTTGTCTTCTTTGGGGTTTGTTTTTGTTCCAGAAAAATGTATTCTCGTTAATAATGCCGCTCCAGTCAGTTATTTTAGCTCAACACCGTATGATCATTAGTTCTATTTTGTTTCGATCTTCGCAGTGGGGATTCCCCGAAACTAGGAGGGTCTAACCAGATCAGCAGTGACCTTTTCTCAACTCCCCAAGGAAGAGCACCAGGGTGAGCATGTTGGGAAAAGAAAGTCTTTGTTTATTTCTATCAAATTGCTTCTTCTCATATCTTTTCTTGTTACCGAGGTGGGTTGAATTTGGTAGACCTTCCGTGACTTGGTCATAAAATTTCTGTTGACTAGGTTGCAGGTTCCCTGTAGCTATATGAATATTTAAGGGCTGAGTTACAAAAATATATGTCCAGGTGTTATTAGGTTTTTGACATAACATTGAACTGTTTAAAGATGGAAATGGAATTAAAAGAACTTGCCATTTATGCATGGGCAGAAGCAGTCAAGACAAAGCTGTGGCTATGGTGGTTCTGATTTGCAGTATGTCATAACTCAGCAACAACAGGTTTACGAGGACAGTTTCACTTCAATATCACCCCAACTCACAACATACAGTTTACAAAATTTCCTTAAATGTTTTGCTCTCTGGAAAAATACAGGCTAAAAGAGGCTTGGGCAAACAGTGACTTCCGTAGAAAACTTGAACAGATGGATGATGGTGAAAGACCACATTCTTTTTAGAGCATCTGAGCAGAGAAATGAGGGACAAACCAAGATAATTGATGTCTGCTTTAGATCTGGCAGTTGAAGAAGAACATGCTCAAATAGATATGAACAGTTTCACGACAAAACATGACATATCCTTTTTAACAGTTTTTAAGAAAAATTAAGAGTTCTATTCTTCACCTATTTACTGAATGGACTTTAGCAACTTTGCTTTTAGAAAAAACTTTGGTGATATTTGTTTTATGATGAAATCTGTGTTGGATTTTTATCATATAAATTGAAAAGATCTCCACACATTTTTAACAGAATGCTATGTGTCCACTTTGATTTTTTTTTTAAACAGAAGAAGACAAATCTTTATCAAAAGATTTTAATATTTTTAAAAGCAGCTTTGGGTCTGACTAAAAACTAATAAATGGTATCACTACTCATAAAACTTACTATGTTGATAATGAAATCAACAAATCGGGTGACTTTGTATAACTGTGTGTGTATCAGCAAGTCAAATGAACTAATTCAGTTCCTTCAGCATCAGTATTTTTTTTGGCCTAAATAGCTTTTTCTGAATTTGGTTTAGCTTCGAATCATAATATAATGTCTATATGCTTCTAATTCAAGAAATAGGGACAACTGTTAGATAGACATACACTGACACATCATTATGACTTAAAATAATTATGAACAGAAAGAATCGCCGACAAACTTTCATAGATCACAAGTGAAATCACAGGACTCGAGGAAAGAACTTGATTGGCGTGCAGAGGCTATGTCTTGATTTGTTGAGACAGGAGAACCCATTTTGTCGTATTTGTTCTCTTACCGCAGTTTTAATTTTAATTGCATTATGTGAAAAAAGAAGTTGACTCTGGAATGTGCCTCACCTGTTCAGATACTTTGGTCTAGTTTCAGCCAAACTTCGGAAATGGTGTTTTGTTGTCAAATTGTCCGCATACATGTATACTGTCACACGTCCCCCCCCCCCCTTTCTCACCCACCCACACTCACACGCACACTCACTCACACCACGCTCACTGACACTCAAATGCACACACACGCATGCACACACACACACGCACGCTCACACAAATTCCCATTAATTACCTCTCAGACTATGTTTTGATTTTGTCACATACATTCTGAGCAGGCCGCCAGCTTGGGAGTCCCCTGGTTCTGCCATATCACAGACTGCGGGAGGGGACAAGTTGTCTGGTAGGTGTACAGAATATGTAGCAGAACAGGAAAACCAGTCATATGATATTCTTGACCAATCTGAGATAATAATAATAATAATAATAACCTCCTTTTCTAAAACTGGAGGGACACGAAATCATTTGCTGTGATCATTCTTACAAATACCATTAAACATTATTCTCTTAGAATTCAATCTACCTGTATATTGAACTTTAAGGGATTAGTGTTGGATTGGTTGTTCGTTTTTGGTTTAGAAATTTTCCAATAAAATTATAACACTTTTTAATTTTTGAGAACAATTTTTTTTAAAACGAGGTTCAACTTTGCTGTGTGTCTTTCTCTCTATGTTTAGCATCATTAACCCCCCAATGGCAAGCTGGTGGCCTTGACCCAAGGATGGCATCTTCTGGGACAACTTTTGGTCAGAACCAGGTATTAAGTTGTTTGGCTGTAATATTTTCCACGTTCTACTTATCAATTGTTGAAGGATTGGACCAACTGATTTTCACCATACATTTCAGAGACAGGCGGGGCGCATCTAAATAACGGAAATAATGGAAACAGGCCTTCTTTGTTATGTCAAGTTGAATATTTATTAAAGTTTTTGTTAAAAAATCAAATGTAGGAGAAAGGAAAGAGAAATCGTTTCATTTCTTTGTAGAAATTGTATAAATTGTTGATTTATTTCAAACGTTGCCATCTGAATTCTTGTGAATCCCCACAAATTAAATTTGAAATGTATTTTGAAACTTTTGTTAGTAAATGATGTTATTTGAGATGTGGAAAAGGACACCTGTAAATGACTTTTTTTTTTTGACAGCCAATAGCTGGTGGGTCAGCAGTTGGCCAGAGTATTGTTCAACTGCAACAACAGCAGCAGCAGCAGCAGTTGGCTCAACAGCAGCAGCAACAACAATTTTTACAGCAGCTACAACAACAGCAAAAGTCGGAGCTCTTGCAACAGCAGCAGCAACTAGAGCAAATGCTGCAAAACATCAGGTCCCAGCATGCGTCTATGAGCCAGGTGTGTATGTGTGCTTGACCCTACCCATCGAACAAATTTTTTTGTCTGAAATAAAAGCGTGGATTAAACCCCCCCCCCAACAAAAAAACCCAACCCAACAACAAACCCCCATGATATTAATGATGAGTTGTTATCAAAGTAATTCTTAGACTTTGGTCCGTGGTTTATTACTGAGTACCACCTTTCTCTCTCTATGAGATTCCGGGGGGGGGGGGGGGGGGGGGGGTGTTAACTTGTAAAAATGACATGAAAAACGGAGGAATAAACTAAATTAAAGGGTTTTAGTTAACTTTAGGGAGTTGGAGTCATGATATTTTGAGATATGATTCATTAGATAACGTCACAACAAAAATATTTTACTGCAAATTGACAAGCTCAGGTTTTCTGTCATATGTTATGTATAACATAGCAGAAATCATATGTATAATCACATATATGGTTTATTTATGTAGCATCCCTCATCATTAGACCTGTTGCACTTTGCAATATTCGCTTCTTAAACAAAACTGAATGCATGTATAGTTTTATGCAAAAATACAATTCCCGTTCATCCATCCATCACCTCTCTCTCTCTCTCTCTCTCTCTCTCTCCCTCTTTCTCTCTCCCTCTCTCCCTTTCTCTCTCTCTCTCTCTCTCTCTCTCCCTCCCTCCCTCTCCCTCCCTCCCTCCCTCCCTCCCTCCCTCCCTCCCTCCCTCCCTCTCTCTCTCTCTCTCTCTCTCTCTCTCTCTCTCTCTGTCTCTCTCACTCCTCCCCTTTATCCATATCCCCCTTTCCTTCCCTGTCCCTTCCTCTCTCTGTCTCATTCTCTCTCATGCACATACACAAACAATTTCACTCAAACTCAAAGATGCACTGTTTGAATTATGGCAGTTAGACTAATTCACAATTTACATTAGCTGGTAGCTGGACTAGCTAGAGTGTAATTGGTTCATAAACTCTCAGTGTGTTTGCTTTTTGTGGATTCCAAATTGTTTTCACCCTTCCCACAATATTTTCCCAATGAGCCCGATATTGAAGTAGGATGAAGTGCTCAATCTTTGACATGACCTAATTTATCTTTTAAGAAGAAATTCAACTTCATCTTTACCCCTGTTGTCTCCTCCTTCCTGTTGAGGTAGGTAACAGCACCAAGCATCTCAGTGCCCTCCTACTCACAGATTACAGCGTCGATTGAGCTGCCAGACTCACTACAGGAAGCTCATGCTAGGGTAAGCAACGTCAAGACGTATAGTGCAACTATTGTCAACTATGCAGCATTATTGTAATGCACACTGAGCATTTCATTAAGATGAAAATGGGCAATGTAAGTGCAATTTATTATTATTATTATTATTTATTATTATTATTATTATTATTATTATTATATTTTTAAATATATTTTTTAAAAATTATTATTATTTTTATTATTATTGTTGTTGTCAAAAGGGAGGAATATGTTATGAGGAAAATTTTTGTTTACATCACTTTGTTTCCACTCGGTGACAAACATATAAAACATGTTGGAAATTTGCAATGGTATTGCTGTAGAATTTAGACGTATCACCTTTAAAAATAATGCTTTACAGCCATCAAATTTCCTCAAAAACTTCTATCTTTCCAGTTCTAAATATGACTTTGACTTTTCTACCTGTTTTCTGACATGAAGCTTGTACTATTTAGTTATTGCTCCTTGCCAAGCGTCGTGTTCTACTGAAGTACGTGAACTCATACGGCATCATTTATGTACTTTTTCCACACCCCAGGAGCCTCAACCTTGGCCTCAGTGTTTTGGAAGAATATTTGTCTGTGTTGAAATTGTGACTGTTTGCCAGTGTTCTAAGTTGTTTTTTTTATCACTAAGCACTAATAAATTTTTACCTGTTTTCCTTTTGTTTTCTCTACCGAACTTTCAGTCTGATTTTCAGAAGTTTGTATGTTTGAAAAAGATAATGTTTGTTTCAGGTTAGTCTATGTTTGTTGGTTTTTTTAATCTGTTCTCTGTAGCTGAGGAAACTTGAGCTGGAAAAGCATTACATGGAGTCCATGCTTGATGGCATGAGGAAACGCTTTGAGGAGGAAATGGTAGCAGTGGAGACATCTTACAAGTAAGAACTTTTGTTAGCTGACGAAACTGGTTTTTTTAATAAGAAATGCCTTCTGTTTGTAAATTTCAAGATAAAGCCCAAAAGCTTGACACTTTATCCTTTGTTCTTGTGATGTTAATGATTATTGTATATGGGTATTGTGGCATTTTTTACTTGCCTTTTACTCTGTCGTGATGCTGTGTATGTCTCGGTTGCCATGTCATTATAGTGTGATAACTTTGTTCAGACAAGGTTTTATTATCTTTCTGTATTCCTAAGAAAAACTTGTGTGTTAATATGTCTGTTTGTTTTTTTTTATTTCAGGAACAGGATGCAGATAATTGAAGATTCAAACAGGAAAAAGGAAGCCCGGTAATTTGAAGTTAATGATATTTTGAAAATTTTGTATTATTCTTTAACATTAATGTAGAAATCAGCTCAGCAAATTTCCCTGTTGATTTATTGTAATATGTGTCACAACACGTTGGGATCTGACACTCGTCAATTTTTGGGCATATGGAGTTATTAGTATAATCTTAAAGCCGGTTTATTTGCCTTGCTTTTGATGAGTGAAAAAAAGACCCATCTATCTTGAATAGAAGTTGAGATCTTACCGATTAAAAGAGGTAAGGGTTGTCTGGTGTCAGAGATAAAATTAACAAGAAAATGGTCACCAAAATTTTGTGACTTCCAAGGCTGAAGTGTTCTTGGGAACTGCAACTTGACATTTTTTAGGCCTTTGATTAACGTTTTTCTGTAAAATCCTCTCAGAAATGTGTTTTTAATAGATGAAAAAGGTGTTTAGCACAAAACGAAATATTCCATGAAAATTGTCCAATCTAATTGTGTTGCAAGTGGTGTAAAACTTTCAAAAACATATAACATATTGCCCAGGTTGTTTGAAGAAATGTGTTTTTAATAAATGAAATAGGTGTTAAGCACAAAACGAAAAATTCAATGAAAATTGTCCAAATTGTGTTGCAAGTGGTATAAAACTTACTAAAACAAAACCCATTGTCCAGGTTACGTGAAGAGAACGAGGCACTGATGGAACAACACGTGGGCCGTGTGCGGCAGTTGGAGCAGGAGAAGAGTGAGGTGAGCAGCGGTCACTACCGCAAGCTGGAGGAGGTGGAGCGGGACCGGGCCCAGGACCTGGAGAAACTGAGGGAGCAACACCGGTATGTAAGATAAGATAGGTAGATAGATAAACCTTTATTGTCCAGATACTAGCACATAGATTTAGTGTCTCTCAAACACGCGCACGCACTTTCTTGAATATCTTGCTTCTCTGGCTGCCTCTTCTTCACACACTCTGGTTTTTGGTTGAACTTGTTGGCATGTGTTTTGTACACTGTTCAGGACACAGCTCCATATAAAAGGGTTTGTAATACAACAGGACTATACACAATGAGTTTTGACTCTCTACGTATACCAGAGATGTCCCAAACTCCTTTTCACAGTCTACCTGGTGCAGAGCTAGCCTTGCCTATCCAACTTCAGCATCAATTTTAGCATTAGTAAACACTTCCAAGGTAGGGAAAAATGTACCCAAGAAGTGTTGTAAGTGAAAAATATTTTTATAATATATTTTTGGACATGTTTTGCCACTTTACTTATCTAGAAAACACACCTCCTAACCATAAAGAAAAAGAAGCATCTGTCGAGTGAACAAAAGACAAAATTAAATAGCAAGTAGACAACCAGTGGAGGTTTTAATCCGCCTAGCTTATTGTTCATAGTTAACTGTACCATCACCACTTTAATGTTGTTTGATCAGCTTGCCATCTTTCTCCAGGCTGGCCGTTCAGACATTGAAAAGGGAACACGAAGAAGCTCTAGATAGATTGGCATCTGCCAAAAATCAGGAGATCACCATGGTAGCGAACGCCAATGACACATCCAGGTAGGGGCTACAGATCTGCTGCAACTGCTTGTCATTTTGTTTCATTTAGATTGTGTGTATGGTTGTAAATGTCAGGTCTGGTTTGCTCATAACACTTCTCTTCAACATAATTTTTCCATGTTGGTGTCTGTGGTGTGATGATTAGGCTTTTCTCCTTGCCTGTGAAAGATGTCTATTCAGTTCACATGTGAAGAAGATAATTATTTGATTGTGTGGGTGGCTTCTGTTTTCAAAACAATCTTGTTTTGGGGAGTTTTAAAGACTTCTATCCCATTTTATCACAAATATTTGTTAAGTTAGACACACTTATACTTAAGCAACCTGAATTGTGTTGAAAGAGTTGTAAAGCTTAAAACTCAGGCTTTAACTATGTCTGAAATTGAATCTTTGTCTTCTTAGCAGGTAGTTGGTGGGTGTTGTCGTGTCGTTTACTCTTTTCCTATCAAACATCTATTGTCCTGATCTCTCCTCATTCTAATTTGTGTTTGTTGCCGTCTTGTAGCACCGCTAATCTTCAGCCCTTATATGACCTTATTTTGTTTCAAGTGCTGTAAAACTCTTTCTAAAAAAAACTAATGGTCCTCTTGAATCTGTCCCCAGGAGCTTGACTGCGGTAGTGGAACAGATCCAGAACAATGCTCGTGACCTCGGAGAACTTCACCTCAAAGTCGAGTCGTGGAACAGACAAGGACTTGACGAGAGGGAGATATCTCTACGATCCAAGGACGAGCAGCTTAGAAGTCAGTTTCTACTTTTTTTAAATGCCTTATTTGATTCCTAGAGATTATTTACCTATGCAGGACTGCCAACCTTCCCGATTTTATTTAGTAAATTCCTGAATTCAGGCTTCATTTCCCAAGCTCCTGGCTTGCCATTGTCCAGAGGAGTTTAGCCACAGTGAAAAAATCATTTTTTTTCCTAAATTTACGAAGTTTGCTGTGAATGTAAAGACAGAAAAACTGTTTCCTGGATGTAGCACTACTTTGACAATAGTGTGGATAGTTTCTAGATGTGGCATCTGCTTCTTTGCCCTTTTTGTTCCTACGTTATTTTGCTGGAGAACATTTTGCTTATTTGGTCGTTATCAGCTAAATGATACACATAGCTTTAACCTCTTTAGATGTTTGGCGGGACTTTGCAACAACAGTCTTGGAACAAATTAATTCTTGAGGACATTTAACTTTCAAACATGATTTCTGCTCACATTTTCCATATATTTGTTTTTGAAAAGTGGTAGAGTTCCTGATTTCAGTCATAGGAAAGTTGACAGGTCTGCCTATTTACCTATATGTTGTTCTTCTTGCATGATAAAAATATTTATTTAAAGTAAAACTAATTCAGGCAAAGGGACCAGGAATTCACTTTCAACTTATTTTTGTTATTTAAGGTATTTCATTTAGTTGTCATTAAATTGTTTCTGACTGAAAAGTGGTGCGATTGAATATAGTTTAGTTGAAAATTGTGTTTTTGTCTTCAGATTTCTATACTCTATCAAGTCAACAGATTGATTTGTTTGATATTACAAAAGTGAAATCACAGACACCTATAGGTACCCAAATGAGAAGCAGCGATTGTTCTAATTAAATAGTGAGCAGTTCATGAGATTTATTCTTTTTTATTCTAACATTTATGCCCATATGGTATATTATATTAACAGTGCTCCAGGAGAGATTGACAAGACAAGAGGAGGACAATGATAGAGAGAGGAAACGTCTGGAGGATCTCATAGCTCGCATGGAGACTCAGCTGAGAGATCAGACCCGCAGTTTGGAAGAGGTTTGTGCGTTGTGCAAAGAGAATGTTTGGCAAGATATTGTAATACTGTTGAACTTGATCTAACAGCCACCTGTTTAAGACAATCAATGTACAGACAGCCACTTCTTATTTCCTTTCTTGCGGTTTGTTTGGGTTTTTTTCATTATAAATAATGACAGTGTAAGATGGCCAGCTGTCTAAGATGGCTTCTTTTCTCTTCGACAATGGATGGCTGTCTTACACAGTTTCGACTTTACTTCTGGTACAGTTCGTATAGACAAAATTTATTTATTGAAATTCAGAAAATGATTTTCCCGTGTAAGCGCCCACCGTGTGCTCTGATTATGCGGTTGAAGCTGTGTGAAAAGTGGTTTTTCTTAAACAGGTTTGGACAGTTTCATTATGAAAATAATAAAACCCCAAGGGTGGAAGTGGGAAGTGGTCATTTGTACTGGTGGTTGTCTTGGACAAGTGGCTGATAGAGCAGGTCCACTGCAGTTTTGTTTTTAGACATCAGCGAGGTGTTGTCGTGTTGATCGACATATCAACAAGATAAAAAGAGATTTTAAGCACTGACAGAGCTAAAAATTTAATTGATTTTCTGTTTGCTCACATTTTCATACCTGTAACTCTTGATTTTCCTGGACTATCAAAGCTAATGCATGGGTAGTTGCTGAGTGCTCTGATGTGGTTTGCTCCTTCCTTCCTGTCAAACATCTTTTGTCCTTACCTCTCCTTCTTCTGTTTTGTGTTTGTTATTCTCCTGTAACATTTCTAATCTCTGGCATGTATATGACTGTAAAACTCTTGCTAAAACTAAAACTAAAGCTAAAACATTGTTTATTACTCCAACAGTTGTCTCATACCACTTTTATCTGTTTCTGCATCCCACTTTAAACTCTTTACATAGAACTACAAAAGAAATGCAGCAAGGGTATATGTTCTGTAGATGGTTAAAAGTCCAGCAACTGATGTTTCTGTAGCAACAATAATCTCTCTGGTTTACACCTTTTTTTTTTAACTGTTTCTTTTCATGCAGTAAAATCTTCAAATTAGTTTTTTCATTATTTTTTATTTCCAATTTAGGAGCGTTGGAAGCTGAAGCAAGACCAGAGTCGAGCGGAGGCCCAGCAGCGCGCCCTAGAGGAGGAACGACGATTGTGGCTGGAACAGCAAGCAAGGGAGAGAATTACCGTGGAGAGAGCCAGGGTAAAATGAACTTATACTTTGTCACAACTTTTATGAGGGTGCTGTCGTCTTTGTGTCTTTATTGACTTTTAACTTCCAACTTTGGGAATGTGATTATTGCTTTCCTTTTTGCTTATCAAATTGTCAATAATAGGAATATACCAGATCCAGATCATCAGTTACTTGTGTGATCTGCTATAGATGCAAGGAAAAAATTGACGGTGATGTAGCGGTTAGACACTCTACCGTGCCATGCAGGAGACCTGAGTTTAATTTTTGGGTAGGTAAAACTTTTATCAAGTATCTCGGTCTATCTGCTGGGACATTGCATCCCTCATAACTTGGGTTATCCTGACAGGCAGGATCAGCGCTCACCTCCTAAATGGTCCAAGTTTTGTTGATGAGGCATAAAAACTCGTACATTTTTTTTTTAAATTCCAGTAATTGAGCCAAAAAACAACAATTCAATAAAAATTGCAAAATTGGCGGAAAGATGCCCATTTCTTCAATTTCATTATTTTGACGAGCGCCTGATTTCCCTATGATGCCTCTCATATGTTATCGTGCAAGAGTAAAATATTGTTGAAAGGGAACAATGTTTGTTGTGTTTCTTTTTTATAAAGGAAAATTATCTTGAAGAGCAACGGACTGCGATGGGTCAGATCAGTGAAGAACGACGCTTGCTGGTTGAGGAACGCACAAAGTTTCAAGCAGAGCAGAAGACTGTCCGAGAAAAGCTGCATCATGACTCGATGAAACGGAGCCAGGTAGAACTTTTTTTTGGTATTCCTTAATACAAGATACGCTAGAGGTTTGAGTGAAATATTCAAATGAGGACATGGCTTGTTTAAGGGAGTGCTGATATTTATTTTAGAATGGTTCTATGGGGTTGATTACACTGTTCATTTAGAACACATTTTGAACTGCACAAATGGATTCCCTGTGCTCACAATTTGTACCCAGCTGCCAGCACATGAGAATTCCCTCTTCAAAGTGATACATCTGAAAACAACCGAAACTTTTTGTCACAGTTTGTCACGGTAGTTTCCCTTGCAAATAAAAGTTGGGGGAGGGGGGGGGGAGAGTATTCTTTTTATTTTTTAGAGAATCTAATATTCAATTCAAACTGTTTCAGTGCTTTTTTGAGTAAAGGTCAGATAGTCCGAATAGTATGAACAATAGCAAAATGATTCTCCAAAGCTGAAAGGTGTTGAGGAGAATGAGTCATTGTGGATGAAGATAGTGAAGAAGAAACTATCGTCATTGAAAGTTGAAAGTTGCAATATATACATAGGCAGGTGAGACCACTCCTGGCAAATTTATTTGATTGGAAAGGGGTTAAGTCCTTGAATGATTAAAACCAAATTCGTTCATCAGAAAAAAAAATCTCACAAATTGTAAATCTGCTGTGCTGATACTTAAATGTTATGCTTGTTAGCCTCTGCCGTAACTTTTAAAAACAGATTTTTAACATGCTCAAATAGGAATTAAATGGATATCAATTGATTGATTTTGAGCGGAGCGCAAGAAGTGTTATTACAAAGTGTTATCTAATTTCATAGTTTGCTGCAATTTGCTCTCGCAGGCTGAAGCAGACTACGAGGTTCTCATTCGAACCATATCAGAGGAAAAGGCACAGCACAGTTCTCGCATGCAAGAATTGCAGAGGGAAGAGGACAGGCTAGCAACAGAGAAAAGTAAAGTGGAACGAGAGAAGAACATTCTTGACCAGGAGAGAGAGAAGTTAGCCGACCAGGCACATCAGATCAGACAGCAGTCAGCCCAGATTGATCACATGACTGAGGTGAGAATGGAGATCCTTCTTGTAAGCTTGATTCTAAATCTTTTTAAAAAAAATTTCTTTCATGAGTTAGTCTTTCTACTTGATGTAAGTCGATCATTTTGAAGGTGGAACATTTGATCCAGAGGTTAGAGTGAAAAAGCAAGTACAAAAGAATGCAGAGACTATACCTTAAAGTAAGTACTGGAATCAGGCGCTCGTCAATTTTTGGGTACACAGGGTTATTAGTATCATCTTAGAGGCTATTCATTTGCCTTGCATTTGGTGAAAAAATTTCCATCTATGTTGAATAGACATTGAGATATTTGTGTTTGAAGGAGGTGAGGGTCATCTGGTTTCAGAGGTAAAATTAGTGGAAAATGGCCGCCAAAGTTTAGTTATTTCCTTAGCTTGAGAATCTATGGACACACTTTAATCAACGTTTTCAGTATTATCCACACAGGAATGTGTTCTTTAATGGACATGAAACGTGTTGAGCCAGAAAAACAAAATTTCAATAAAAATTGCCAAATTGGAGGAAAAATGCCTGTTTCTCCAATTTCCTTATTTTGAGGAGCGCCTGATTTCACCACGATGCCACACATATGTGAGGTGTGCTGACAAAATTGAGTTACTTCTCGTAATCCACAAATGGAGATATTGGCCAAAAATCGACGTTAGAGTTCAAATTTGTAGATTTTCTATTGATGCCGTATTCTTTAACTATAACTTGTATTCTCTTATTTCATACTTATAAATTGTTAAAACTTCCCCTATAAGCGTGATATATCTATTTCCTTAAGGCTTGAATCTGAGAAGTAACTCATTTTGTTAGCACGCTTCACAAGTGTGTCTGAGCGTTGTTGTTCATGTGTGTAATATAACATAAGAGGAGCTGAGCTGCATGACCAATAACAATGTCTCAGCAGCAAATGCATTGAATTGTTTGGTTATAGGGTCACAGCTCTAGCACATTTCATCTACCTTCTTCCTGTGCTCCCATTGTCTCAGGCTTATGTGCTGTGCCCAAGGTTGCAGCCACACAATTGAAGTAAAAACAACATGACCTATCAACACTTACAGTGGAGTCCACTTAAATTGATCATGGTTAATTTTGAACACAGCGGTAAATCGATAGAAAATACAATCCCTGATTTTTGTCTCAGCTATTTTAGCAACTACTGTAACTGTAACCGAAAAGACTTCTGCACTGAAGAAAAACCGGCGGACCCACAGATTTTGGTTCAAGTGGACTCTACTGTATATTTTTGGAACACCTACCACTCATGAAAATGCTGGCATGTAGCATGATGTACCTTGGGGTATTGATATCCTCACAAATATCTGTATCTGTGATGTGTGTTGTTTCTCTCCAGGCTGCTAGTCGAACTCGCATGGAAGGAGATCAAGCAATGGAAGAGGCTATGCATATCAACTCACAGATAGAGAGGAGAGAGACGGAGGTTATGAAGCAGCAAAGCGCTGTTAAACTGATGGAAGAACGGATTTCTCAGGTTAGTGTGGGCTCCATTCATTATCTTGTCAGCCACAGAGGTCAGTTTGGGGGGGGGGGGGGGGGGGGGGCTTTGGACAGAACTTATGGGGTGGAATGTGTGATGACAGTGACTGTGTGAATAAAATGATTGGTCATAAATGGTTGGAAATGGTATTGGCTCTCAATCGACTCTGTTTAGATATTGAATAGAATGGCCTTTCAAGGGTACTTATTTCTCTTTAGAGTGTGCGCTGTGAATTTGAGGGCTGTGTACAGATGGTGTTTATCATTGGATTGTTAGGTTTTTTATTTATCCGTTATAAAAATCCTCAGCTAGATGGGTATCTACAGTCAAAGCTTAGTTCATGTAGAGGAGCTTATTGTAGTACTGCTCAGCAATGTTGTTCGGTTTTTAACCCTTTGAATACACCGGTGTAGCATAAAACTGCCCGTATGTCCAGCCACCGGTACACCGGTGAGCGAGACTCCATCCCCAACCCGGCGCGTCTGAGATAATTGAGAAAAAACTTGTACGCAAAACAGCGATACTAATACTACACAGGACTTCATTGATTATTTTGAAGATCTTTCTGAATTAGATGCTGGTCATGACCAGGACTACCCTGAGCGGGATATGTAATGTGATTCTGACGATCACATGAATGTTAGTAATATATTGCTCAGGAGCTCAGGCAGAGGGGCACAGTAGCCTCAGGAGATCAGGGCTCAAAGGGTTAAAAGAGGAAATTTTTTAGAGGAAATGTAAGAAGGTTATCCAGAATTTTTAGCTTAGAAATATGAATATCTTTTTCAGTACTTTGCTATTGTCAATTAATGTTTGCATTTTCTTGGTTGCCCAAATGTTAACCAGTTGGCTGGTTTTGTAACACAATCATTGTGTTTTACTGAAATGTACATAGACTTTATTAGACAGCGTCAAAGATTGTATACTATGAGATGGTTCACTCCTCTTTTGAGATGCTAATAAAACATCTTCAAAAGTACTCATGGGGTTGTGTGTGTTCTTGTAATGCAGTTTTTAGTGTGTAGCAATACTTAGGAACAATGAGTAGGAGGGAAGATTGTTCTAAATACACTTCTTTTTGAGAATTTAAACAAAATGTTCTTATCTAAACTGGAGATAGTTTCTCAAAGAATGCACATCTATTTTTAAACCCCTCTTTTAATGGAGAGTGAATGGTCTTGTAGTATGTGGTCTAAAGTATTTTCTAAATGAGGGGATGAGAGTGTTCATTATGTCCTCTTCCTCCTTTGTTTCACATGTGTAGGAGAAACTGCGACTGGCGAAGGAGAAGAAAGAAGTGGAAAACTTGAAAAATTCCTCCTTGTGTGTTAACTGCCGTTCCCCTGTGAATGGTCCAGCCGTATACCCTCCGTTTCAACAAAATGGTATGACTTTGTGTTTTATTAAATATATCATCAAATGATATTTTGAACAGTTAGATGTGCTTTACCTGCATGTTGTCCATGCTAAAATTCATAATGGTTCTTTTTTGGTTTTGGTTTTAGATTCCAAAGTGTACTTATTTTTTATGGGCGAGGACCATGCAGTTGATGACACGTTTGTTCCATTGTGAGAGAAATTGTACTTCTTTGTTTTTCTTTTGTTTTGTTTTTTGGTGTTTTTGGTTTGTTTTTGTTTTTTCATTTAAAAAATTTTTTGGTTTTTTTTTTTTGGGGGGGGGAGGGGGAGTTATTTATTTGCACATCTGTTCGTTGTTGGTGGATAGTAAGGTTTGCTCCTTTTTTACTATCAAACATGTCCTTATATCTCCTCCTTTTTTGTATATTACTGTCTAGTAAAACCTCAAATCCTCATCACCAAAATAGATGTATTTGTGTCGCAAGTGCTGTAAAACTTACTTAAAGTAAAACTAAAAATGTGCATGTCTGTCACCAGGGGTGTATTAGATTGTTCTCTTTTAATGGAGTTGTTTTTTTTTTACAACAAAAGGATAAAGAACTTTACAAAGATAACTCCCTGTTAAAAAAAAGTTGTGAACACATTCAGAAGCTCAGAAAATTAAAGAAAAATGAAAGTCTTGGTATATAATAATTAATTACAGTGGAAACCTGATATAACAGGGATGGTGGGAGTAGAGAAAATGTCCTGTTATATCCGATCCCTGTTAAATCAGAAATGCAAGGAAAGTAAGCATTTGTGGACTAATCCAGCTGTAGTTATTCATGGGTAGTTTCCTTTGCCACAAGTACCCACGAACAGGGGTTTTGGCACCAACTTTCTCCTAGCCTCCTTAAACCACATCAGAAAAGCTTTGTCCACAGCATCTGCATCGGGTCTCATCTTCTTTCGATCCAGAGCAAACTTTCCATTAGGGTATGCTGCCACTATCTTCTCTCTATCCTTGACAATGGTGTGAATCGACCTTTGTGGAATGTCGAACTGACGACAAATCTCTGCCAGTGGAGCTTGCTTTTTGTCAAGAGCCTGGATTATTTCGTGTGTTTTTTTGTGTCAATTGAAAGACATTTTCTCTTGCGCTTGACTTCGTAGGTGACAGTAGACACATTACGCAAATGTGTTGCTAGGTTTCGGGCTAGATCGAGGTCTGCAGCACACTGCAGCCCTCTCTCGCTTCACACGTTGCATGTGCTTGCAGTGGCATCTCTCTCTCTCTCCTCTCTTACTTTTTACACATTGTTAGCGAGCCTTTGTCCCTGCTATAACCGGTTGGGCTCCTATGGGGCCCTGTTATTGCCGATAACTTTTAATAGAGACAAAGAGTAGGAAAAAACGGGGATTTAAAAAATCCCTGTTGTTACCGGATCCCTGTTATTACCGGGCCTTTTATATATGGTTTCCACTGTATATCACTTAACTTTATGGTGGAATCTCTGACATTTATTTTGCTGTACAAGTTACTTGATTGCAATGGCTATTAGATTTTTTGTTTTTAATTGCAAGAAGAAAGAAGAAAATGTCTGTAAATATTTTACATAACAACTGTCTGTTTTGACACTGGAATGTTTGTTTGATGATGTATAATTTTTGTGAGAAAATTTTGTTTTATCCAGGCTACCATACACCTCAGCTCATGAACTCGGTGGGGATGTCTCCTGTGCAGTCTGTAAGACTCAGCTCTTCCCTGCAACAACCCGTAGGGAACCCCTTAGACAACATTGCCTCCTCCATAGCAAACGATCGAGCTGTCCGTATGTGGAAAATTAATGCTATTAAGGTACCGTTCAATTTTTCTTCATTTTCATGCATGGAAAATCCCACTGGTAGGGTCTGCTACTTTTCTTACCCTGTCGTTTCTGTCTATCCATCTTGCTTTTTGATTTTGTGGGCAATAATGGTCATTATTGTGTCTATGTGCTTCTGTTTTACTGAAACAATGATTTCTGTAATTGGACACCCCCCTTCCCCCCCCCCCCCCCCCCCCCCCCCCCCCACACACACACACACACACATGCACATGCACACACACACGCACACGCGCGTTTTTTAACTAACACCCACCTTGCCGATGGCTGAAGAAGATGCCTTTGTAATGCAAGTACTGTTATATCAGTAATTTTGAAGACATCTTGGAACCTACACTTGCAGTATTTAGAGGTTTGTAGAAGGATGCAAGTGTATTTTGTTGTTTCAAACAAATAGTTGTGAAGATAAGACTCCTTCTCTTTTAGTGTTTGTGGGTGCTCAGGTGTGGTTTGCTTATTCTTTCCTATCAAGCATCTATCATCCTTACCTTCCCTCCTTCTTTTTTTGTGTTAGTGACTCTTTTGTAACACCTCTAATCTTTGGTATTTATTATATGACCTTATTTTGTTGCGAGTGCCGTAAAACTATTATTTTAAAAAAATCTCTTTTAAGTGTTTTGTTTATCACAGTCACTACACACTTACTTTTTTTCTCTTCCTTTGTTGATTGAACATCCTTGTACTTTTCGTCAGCTTTGTTTTTTAAAGCTATGTTATGATTGTTCTGATAGGCATCTCTATAATGAGGATTTCTTTTGCTTTCACAGGACAAAGAGTTCCTGGAAGAGGAGAGCTTATATCTGGAGACGTTGAGACACACCCCTTATCATTCGACTGCATCAAAGTCTTGATGTTATAAGTCATACTCATAAACGCATTTTTACTTTAGTCTTTGTGGTCAGTACAAATTACCAGAGTAATCTGCACTTATCATTTTGGCACACTCATGAACAAATTATTTTCTAACTTGTTATAACTTATGTATGAGCCAGGCCATTTGTTTATGAGCATAATGATTTATATGGTATATATCCATTTAACTTTCTTAACTTGTAAATTTGTTTACCAAATGTAAAAGTCAAAGTGTTGAATATGCCTGTAGGATTTGGAAAGAATATACTACATCTTCACTAGTGCCAACATTGTGATTAGTGTTCATCTTCTTCCTTTTGGAACTGAACACTGAGCTGTCATAGTTTACTAATAGACATTTTCTAAGTATGTATTCAGTGCCGAATAGAATAACTGAATATGACATTTAGTCAGATATATGTAATAATTGCATTGAAATAATCATCTTTCAAATATCATTGCTCAGAGTAAAAAAAGGGAAATAAAGTGTTGCCATACTGACGGGTCACATCTACATGGCGTCAGGCAGTTTTTGTTGTCGGGTCAATGGTGTTTTGTTAGCCACAAGATTTGTGCTTTTCTGGTTGTGTCCCTGTTGCATATTTGATGTTTCACTATGCACATGCTGAACATGCAGTTTATTGTTCTCTTCAGTATATGACAGTAAAGAGTTACATGGCAAAGCTTGTCATATTCGTGAAGAAGCTTTTAAGCTTGGAGGATGCGGGTGGTGTACTATTACGGATAAGTTGACCTTTTGTTGAGGATAGAATCATATAAAGACCTATCTGAATAGGAAAAGATGACTTGAAGTGTGGCGTTCTTTTCTCTGGATTTGGTTGTGAAATGTCACTAGCTAGGTGTACAAGTGTGTTTTTTAAGTGCCTGGTTTAATAGATTTAATATTGCGTAGCATATTCCACTGCCAAGATATCTATGATATATCAGTGTTTATATTTAAAGAAATATATACAAATTACCTGTATTTATATGTAAATAAAACTCAAATATTTTGTACTTCTTCACTGACTGCAATTTATATGTTGATCTTTTTTTTTTTCTTTCCTTTTTATCCCTCGTGATCTTTGTTAGACTCTGCTGCTGTAGGCCTGTATCAGTGAATTATTTTCATCTCAACATTTTTTATATTCAATGTTGTTCGTAGCAAGAGACTAGCCATACTTTGCAAATGTTTTACTTGATTCATGTTTGGGAGAAATTAGTACATAAGGGGTTGCTCAGATCCAAATATGAATGTACTCCTTTTTTTTATGGATATTGTTTGTTTGGTGATTGTTGTGTTTTTTTTTTGGGGGGGGGGGGGGTTGTATTATTTTTTTATTATGAATTGTTAAGAAATTGTGTCTATTTTATACAGGCTTAGAACTGTAACTGAAGTCCATACTTACTTTTATATTTTGTATACTTACATATATGTTTAACACAAAGTGCATTACCTTGCACAAGCGAACTGTGATATCGGAGAGTTTCATTGGGACTCTATATTTGTTTTAAAATTATGTGTACAATCATTTTCTTCAAGATGATGCACAAATGTATGGTTTAGTAATTTGTCTACTCATATTCTTTTGTCTTTTTATGTAAAGTAGAATATTTAAAATATACTCTGCTCATATTTTCAACTTCATGTATACAGGAGAATTACGAACAAAAGAATTATTTGTGTCACCTGTGGAGTTTCTTGTTTCATGGTTTGAAATACAAACTCACATTTTCCCTAAAGTAACTGTGTAAAAAAAACTTCTACAACTTTGCAGCTGTATGTGTTCGGCTTCTAGTGAAAGACCTACACATATAGCACAAGTTTTATGTGTATTCAAACTTTTCTGTCTTCAAAATTCAGTTACAGATCATAAAGAGCTTTAGCTGTCACATACATAAAAAGCCTCTGTTAATGTATTGACATGAAGGATTCGGAAGGTACCCTGAATTGTGATCAGAACAATAAATAAAGTGTTTGAATTACTCTTGGCTGAACTTATCATCATTATGATGATACACTTTGAATGATGGAACTGCCAGAGGTAAAATTTTACCCTAGTCCCTTGGTCCCATTGTCACTATTTTTCATCTCTGTCATTTTGCCAAAAGAAGTAGGAGATGTAGGCTTATATGTTTATTTTTTATTGAAACATAGTCGACTTTTATTTACAAGAGTTTGTGTATGAGAAATTCTGGTGTGCAAAGTAAAGCAAAGCAACTACCTTCAGCTGTTCTTTTTTGTTTTTTGATGATTGTTTTTTTGTGGTTTTTAAAAAATGTACATTCAATGTTTTATTTGTCGTCTTACTACACACTTTCCTGGAAAAATTGTGGAAGGTTCTATTTCATTCATTAAATTATTTGTGAATACCGGTATTGATTTTTGTCCTAATTGCTGTCTCTTTAATTTTTTTAAAAAAAATTTTAGTTGTTACATTTTTGGGTTTTTAAAAAAACAGACAGGAAGATGGGGTGACCTTGAAGGATGCATTTGGTTATGCTTGTGCTGGATTGTTCAAACTGAGTTACAACTGGAGCTGTTGTGCTTTTTTGCTTCCATTTCAATTTTACTGGGGTGGAAGATTACATGGTGGGTGGTTGGTGGTTTGGTCTGTTTTACCTATCAAACTTCTATCGTCCTTATCTCTACTTCTTTTTTGTGTTTGTTACTCTTCTGTAATACCTCTAATCTTCAGCACCTACATTACGTAATTGCGTTGCAAGTACCGTAAAAACGTTTTTTAAAACAAACAAGACCACATGTACTTGCAGGTGGGTTATGTCTGTAGTGTTGTGGGTAAGTTACTCAACTCATCATCGTGGGTTTGGTTGTTGAGTTGGAGGCTCAGCTCAGTCTGACGTTGTGTACTTGGGAAAGGCACTTAAGAATTGTTCCCTTTAGCTCTGGCCTATACTATCAGAGGTGGACATTAAAATTAACTTAAATTCAGTGGTACAACCTCTTAATTAACCGTATACTTATACATGTAGTTATAGTGTTGCAGTTTGAGGGGGTGGGAGGGGAAGAGGCTATCCAATTTTGCCATTTTTTTGTCAGGTGTAATGAAGTCGTTGTCATGCATTAAAGCTTTAACTTTAACTCTACGACAGTCTCAGGAACAACAACAGGAATAGTAATAAGTCTTGTTTTGGTGTTTTTTTTGGCTTGAAAATATTTTCGTGTTTGTACTTCATAAAACTGTTTTAATGTGTAAATTTTCTTGAAAAGCAATAAAGATCATACCAGTGAGAAAAAGGACTAGCTTCTTTTAAGACATGCTAGAAAAGACCAAAAATCTAGACTAGGAACATTTGAAGTCTTCCTGTTTCATGTTTGAAATTTTTTTATTTCTCACTTCCAGGTGTCCTGAAGTTATGTAAAGTAAGTAGGCTTTACGAAAATGTGACTCTCTAAATTTTCATTTCATTGTTGTGATCATGGTTTGCCATTCATTTCTTTGCTCAGCTGCTTTATCCTGGTCTCTGCGTCACCCATCTGTTAGGACTTTCCTAGCAAGTTGCTGTGGGTCTTCCCCTACCTCATCTGATTTCTACTTTCCCAATGAGAGTTACATGCTTAAGGCCTTTATGTCAATTTAAGTGCCCTAGAAATTGCTTTTGTCTCTTAGTAGTGAGCGGCTCTTGTGGGCTTCTTTCGGTTTAACTTTGATTTTTTTTTACTCCCACGAAATTCTCGACGGTTTCCCCCAAAAACACATTTCTGCTGCTTCTATTTTATTTTCACTGTCTTTGGTAGTTGTCCAGCACTCGTAGCTGAATAGAAAACCTGACCGAACATAGCCTTTCGCTACTTTTAGTCCTCTTACTTTGGTATGGAACTCATTGAGGTATTTTTTATTAAAACTCTTCAGCTAAGCTATTACGATCCTTCGTTTTATTTCTACGAAACATTACTAAAATGTATGAATTCGGACAGCTGAAAATAACACACATACGCTTGAGTTCTTTGCTAAAATTGAATTTCATTCTTATCTTTTCTTTATTATACCACGAATATGATTATATTATCTTATGCCAATCAAGGGCAATCTCTTCTGAGTCCTATACATTCCCAAGCTAAGAGTTGCTGTGAACCTGTTTACTGTTATTACTGTTATTTTGAGTTTTGGAAGAGTGATGAGGGTTCATGGCGCCTGCTGCTGGAGACGCCCCTGGCTCTTCAGACTCGAGGAGAGGATCCTTGGGCCCTTCCTCTTTAGCTTTTTGTGTCGGTTCCACTGCGTCTCTGCCGTCCTGTGCCTGGTCGTCTGTTACTGGTGGCACTTCTCCTGCCGTCTCATCTGACGACGCAGCTTGTTCGTCTGCTTGCTGCTCTACGTCATCAGATTCCTCTTTCTGCTCTTTGCCTCCTCCTCTTTCTCCATCTTCTTCCTCTCCCGTTTCTGCTCTTTCTTCCCCTCTTTCTTCTTCTGCTTTCCTTTCTTCCTCTTTGTCGACCTCCTCCCTCAGGGATGGGATGGGTGTGTAACGTGACTTGAGGGTTTCGAGGTCTGGCAAGGATTTCCAGGGAAAATATTTCCCCCTAGGGTCCGCCATGACGATCTCCCTACCGTTCTTTGCGATGACGTCAAGAGTTTTGGGGTCCAGGAAAAGCAGCACGGGGATTCCCCTTATGCTAAATTTACAGGCCACTTCCTCCTGGGGAGCAGACAGTGGTAATGGTAACACAAGACCAGTTCATTTGTTCTGTTTTTTTCTACACAGTGAGTCTGTTGGTTCTTTTTTTTTTTATAATAGAGGGTTTTACGGCGCTCGCAACTGCATAAGGTCATATGAGCGCCAAGGGGTGGTGTCAACAGAGAATTCTTTACTGAGAATCGGACTTACTCTGCTCACCTCTCTAGCTTCAATAGCACAATGTCTACTTCGACTATCAAGGCACCCCGGAAATAGCAGGTCACAAGAGAGTGATAAACATACAAAAGAAGTAGAGGAAAATGACAATAGTAAGGATTTTTTTTATAGTAGAGGGTTTTACGGCGCTTGCAACTGCATAAGGTCATATGAGCGCCAAGGGGTGGGTGTCAACAGAGAAGTCTTGACAGGGAATCAGACTTAGACTGCTCACTTCTCTAGCTTCAACGGCACAAGGTCTGCTTCGACTATCAAGGCACCCCAAAATAGCAGGTCACAAGGGAGTGACAAACATACAAAAGAAGTAGAGGAAAATGACAATAGTAAGGATAAGTAAAGAAAAAGCAGCAGCTCCCTGTTGCAGATCAGTCACAGTTATGAGCATGATATGAACCAGCCCATTTACAATTCTACTTGCTTGAACGAAATATGTCCCCCCTTTGGGAATGGCTTAAAGACACTACAGCCAGTGGCACTGTGTTGGTTCAAAAGCAAGCAAGGT